AAAGTAAGATTAGGATGAAAGAAAAAATACTGTAAATATTTTGTTTGGGTTCACAACGTGTTGTTTTACTGAATAAATTCTGCAAGAAATGTCAACTTTCTAATGATTAGAAAGATGACATTCACTTATTGAATAAGCGACATGAGAATATTTTTAAAGAAATAAGTTACCAATGAGCTTTTCAACTTTCTCTGTTGCACCAAGGATTAGTCTATGGACTTTCTGAATCAACGAACCTTTCTTTAAATGACTTTTACACAACCTAAAAATGAAAGGCATATTACTATACCTTTTCCTTCTTAATTTGTTCAGTAAAAATCGTCAAGTATTTTCTGTGAAAAATTTTTGAGGTAAATCGAACTTAACATAAATTTAAAGAAAAACCTTGATGACTGTTACTGAATAAATCAAGAGTTTGTGCTGAACCATGAAGAGCTTTGTAATTTAGTGCAAAATCTTCTTTACAGAGTCTGTCTAGGATTTGGTACTAAAATGAAGATTTAATACGAAACTTTTAAAAAAATTTCGTAATGGAAAAGGTTTAACCATTTGTCACCAAAGCAGAGACGGGCAACTTCCCCTAAGTTCAACTCCGGCTCTAATTCCAACTCCGTTTCAACTCTAACAGAAACTTATTTTGTTTTAATTAATTTTCATCTTTATTTTAATAGCACTTGTTCATTTCACTATTGTTTACAAGAGTACACACAAAAATATTCGGTTTAATAATCCAAAATTACATTTCAACAATATTAATTGAAACCGTACTTTTTGCCATTCTGTATCGATGAGATCGAAAAACCGTTCTGTGGAAACATTCTTTGTACCAGTGTAACAAGAGAAAGGAAAAAACTTTCAGGGTTGTAAAGATTTTAACTAGAGTTTTGAAATTGGAGTTAAAAAGTCTGAACGTAACTTCGATCTAATAAAATGTAACTCTAACTCTACTAAAAAGAAACTCCGGAGTTGCCCACCTCTGCACCAAAGCTAAACCTTTTTTTTCCTAGCAGGACACAAGGTATGGTAATAGACCTTTCTTTTTTAGAGTAATCAATCAATTATTTTTCCAGACGCGTTTCGTTTTTTACTTAAGCTGAAACGAGATAGACCAACGTGTGTAGACATACTTTCTGTCTCGGTCATAAGGAATGCCTCTGGACGTGTAATTATTTGAATGCATCTACACGCGTTTTTTCTATCCATCTGTCCTATCTAATTGTCTTAATTAGTCGATAGAGAGATCCTAGCAAGTCAACAGAAAAATAAGAGAAAAACATTTCAATAAAATTTTTAAATTGTGTTCCGAGCAAAAAAGTGGCTACTTATAAGACAAACTTTCCCAGAATTCTGTAGCAGAAATGACTCATTATTTAGTGCAAAACAATGACGTACTCGAGGAAGCACTTCTGAGCTAGCTCTTTAGAAACTTATATATTCTGTGATTCTAAGCGGGGACCAGTTTCCACTGAAAATTGAGCCAACAGCGACATAGATACATTAAAACGACAGGATCCTATGTCAGTTTCACGAAGTGAAACAAATTAATTAGATAATATTCCTTTCTTCTTGTCATCCAACCTGACACAATAAATGTTTGTCACGATGACAAGCTAGTTTAGCTTTCGAACAAAAGATCAACAAAATTGCAATTTTTAATGCTTGTAGCCAGAATAATGACTAGAATTTTTTATATGAGAATTAAAGAAGTCAAATGAATAAAAGCAGAAGGTATGAGATAGTGTAATTTAGATATACTTTACATACAAGATGTATGCCTAATTAATGAATAATGTATGTTCGTGCAAATATGGAAGAAAAGCTCCATTTCTCAGCAATCTGAGCTCTCTTTTATCAACCATTATGACTAGATCAGTACTGATCTAGTCATAATGTAATTTATTTTTTCATGAAAAGACTATTCTTATCTCTAAAATGCTAAAAGCTCGAACTCTGAATTGCTTTTTTTGTCGGAAAGTTATTCAAAAACCATTCACAGGCATTGTTGCTTTGAAATGACGATAAAAACTCAATAATACTTTTATCTAAAGAATATAGTAAAAGTTTTAAATAATGTGGAAGATTCAAATAACAATTGACAGGTTTCTCTCACGTTATATTACCTGACTAACGGTACACCATTTGCGGTCTACTAATTTCATAATATAAATGAGAAAAGAATTTAAATATTTTCGTACGACTTGTTGAGAAGAGCATCATTGTTATCAAAAAACAATATTTACACTCTTTGTATTCTCATCTTCTAGTTTCAAAAAAACAAAAGTATTCGAATTATCTTACTCTTTGCACAACTGCAGTACACCGCCGCGACACTGTTATATATTATATGCCATCGTTTTTCAAATCATTGAAGATGGGCAATAAATGTTCGAACTGTAATAAAAAAATCTCTCCCACTGATGCGATAACAATTGATGGAACAAAATTCCACAAATTATGCGTAAAATGTGGTATGTATTCATATTTGTTTTACATCGAGATATGCTGGAATACCAACAGTTTTTCGACTTGGGTACTATTTTTGTTAGTATGTTCTTATCTTAGGCATCTAGCGTACAGTGCGTTTCTATCTTTTCGTATGCGGCAACGTACAGTAGGCGAAGAACGTGCCAGAAATGAAAGAGAGCGTTGTTTTACTTAAATTATGAGATTCGCCGCCGCTAACTAATATTTACACGCTGCCGCCGAAAGCGGAAGAAGTTTTCATAACCTCGCCGCCACCGAAGGTACAGGAAATTTTCATAGCCTCACGCCACCGCCGAAAACTTTTTATCAGCGCACATGTCTGGTTTCAGCTGCTAGGCCTTTTTTGGAGTGGGTCTCTGAAAGGTAATTTCGTAGTTCGACAGAAACAGTTTTCGACAGCGTATTTCGACAGTGTCAAATTTTGAGTCAAAAACTTCGACACTGTCGAATTTTGAGCTTGTCGAAAATTTTTACTCCAAATTTGACACTGTCGAAAGCCTGTCGAATTTCCATTGAAAAATTTCAATACTGTCGCAAATCGAATACAGGCAAATTTCGACAGAGCTTTTGAAAGTCAATAAATTATTTTGCTAATATTCATATATTACGAGATTTAGATATATACGTTCTAGACATGATAGTGAGTCACCAGATCACATTCAATGTCCAACCACTAAGACCCGGAGACTATTGATGGTTCTCTAGGTAGAAAGATAGAGAATTTTGTGCTCTACAGACAACACTCATTGACAACTTCATACAACGTTTCCGCTAGATCAGCTGGACTCATAACTAGTTCTTAACCGGCTTTTCAAATCTTTCGTAATAGCATAAAGACGTAATGATGTAGAGACATAGAGAAATAGTGATGTAAAGACGTAACGATTGTCTAAGTGTTTACGCTTTTCTGAAAATCTGTCGAATTTTTAGTCCGTCTGAAAATTTTCGCCCGAAATTCGACATTGTCGAATTTGGAGTAAAAATTTTTGAGACTATCGAATATCGAGTAAGAAATTTCGACACTGCCGAATTCCGAGCGAAAAATCCGACAGCGTCGAAAGCTAACTATCGAAAAGTAGAAATGTCGAACGGTGACAAATTCCTCTGATAAACTTCTTTGCAGAGATAGAAAAAATTTACTTTATAATCCACTGGGCAATCAAAATATTTTAGGTTTTTGAATCCTAAACTTTTTCTATCTCTGCGAAATTTTGTTCGTTGGTTCTGCAAATTTTTCCAGATAGGTAACTCAACATGCTCTGCAATCTGGCAGTGTCAAAATATGTTCAGCAAGAAGTTCATAGCGGGACTTCAGACATCCGGATTTCAGAGACTCACTTCAGAAAGGCCTAGCAACAGAAACAGATATCAAATTTGTGATCAGCATTAAAACTTAACAACAATCGCGTACATTTTGGGGAAAAAGATGTTCTAATAAACGTTTTACAGGTTTGTGAGAGTGTCACTCTAGGTTGTAGTGAACAAGGATTTCTCGCTTTAATCAACCCTTCATGTAAGGTTTTTATTTTAATGAATCCGTTACTCAGGGTTGTTGTTAGACGATTTATTAAGTCTAATACACGTCAGTTAAGGTCATTCTCTATACTGAACGTGAACGACGGTGGAAAAGCAAACAGGTGTGGTGTGCATCGCATAGACAGCGGTGGAGAAAATGTCCGGTTCATTTTTGTTAATAAAAATGTTTCTGTTGTCTAGAGGCGCACGCTGGTCAAAGCAAGGCACTTAAAGAACATAGTCATTCTGATTTTAATTTTTATTCTTCAAAGTTTGTGCTATTTTGTATCCTATAGTATATCTTATGACCCAAGATAAGGTCACATAGTCAAATTTTATGTTAACTTGTTCACAATATCATATTGTAGAATCTCTGTTTAGCAACACGGTTTCAAGCAGCGAACAATCGCCTGTGAAGACAAATTGTTCAGCTGAACAGTTGTGGTTTCAGATATAAAACTGCATTATTCATTTTTGATGGGCAACGGCACACTTTATAGAGAGAATGAAGCAGACTAAGCTGGTATAGATTAAACTACCAGCTGATGACTTGATGAGTGTTTTCCCAAGTTAAAGCTGCTGAAAAGGTTTCGCTGTGATACCAAACGATAGAAAATTCTGTGTAGATTTTACTCTTGTGTTCTTTCAAAGTAAAGTATCATGTATTTTTTTGTGGCAATAGAAGTATTGAAGGGCGCAAAAAGTTAGAAAACAGAGAAAGAGATAAGTCACCTGAAAAAGAAGGATTAAAAAACGTCACTGCGTTTGGTTTGTTCAAGGCGTCTCCTAAAGTGTGTCCTTTTAGATTTATGTAAAAAAAAGTTGGACGAAACAGATGCTACTGGAAATGATGGTAATATTTATTGTTCTACATGCCATAAGAAACAATCAGCATGTTCTCCTGAAGGGAATAAAAAGAGTGCAACTGAAGTGTAAGTATCCAACAAAGTAGTATAACTTTCAGAAATGTTAACATATTTTAATCATTGTCTAGCAGCAAAATGGCATGTCATCTTCCAGAAACATCCAAGACATTAATAAATAGTAGTATTCAAATCAAAGATGAAACGATATCACTTTTACCGGAACCAGTGAAAAAATCGACTAATCTCGAAACATTTTCACTTATCTGGCTTGATGCCAATGTTCACATTACAAAAGATAATATTGATTCACAAGTAAAATTAAGAGAAGCAATTAATTTTTTACAAATATTCGACGAAGCGGATAAATGTGAAGAAAATATAAAGAGTATCGTACATGAAAAAGTTGTCTTTATTGTATCAGGAAAACTTGGACGGGAAGTTGTACCACGTTTGCACGATTTACCGCAGTTAAACTGCATTTATATCTATTGCTTAGATAAAGCTGGTAATAAGCAATGGTCGGATAAATATTCAAAGGTACCGATGATATAAAATATTCATTAGCTTAACCATGGCTTATATTTTAGGTTAAAGGAGTATTTACCGATTTAGATGAACTTATTAAACGTATCACAAAAGATCAGGAAATACGAGAAAAAGTAGAAGATTTAGTTGCAATATCAATTTTTAATCGAATGGACAAAGAAAGCACACATAAAAATCTCAAATCTGAAAATAGTTCATTTATGTGGTTCCAGTTACTTATTGAAATATTAATTTGTATGGAACACAGTTTAACAGCAAAACAAGAATTGATTAACATTTGTAGACAACAATATAAAAATAATACAAAAGAACTAACTATTATTGATGAATTTGACAGTGATTATGATTGCTCGAATGCTATTTGGTGGTATACAAGAGAAAGCTGTATATATCGTCTTTTAAACAAGGCTTTACGTATTCAAGATATAGACATTTTATTTGCTTTTCGTTTTTATATTACGGACATATTTAACAAACTTGATGAAGAGCATAAAAAATTTAAAAATTCGTTAATCGAGCAATTCATTCGTGTGTATCGTGGACAAGTCATTTCTACGGATGAATTTAATAGAATGCGTAAAAGTATTGGTGAATTTATTTCAATAAATTCTTTCTTTTCAACCAGTCAAAATCGACAACTCGCTCTTGAATTTATTAATACTATAACACCTACAAATGATTTAAAACAAATTTTATTTGAGATTACAGTTGATATTCGTTTATCAACAAAGCCATTTGCCGATGTAACAAAATTAAGTTTTTTTAAAGAGGAAGAGGAAATTATTTTCATGCTTGGTTCAGTATTTAGAATTACTAATGTTATTTATAGCAAAGAAGAGCAGGTGTGGGTTGCTAAATTAGTCTTATGCAATGAAAATGATCACGATTTGAAAGATTTATTTGCTTATCATAAAAAGAAGATTGGTAAAGAATCTACAACTGTTGTTTCATTAGGAGATTATTTGTTTAAAATGGGAGAATTTGATAAAGCAAAACAATACTACAATCGTATTCTTGTTGAATTATCAACGATTGATCTGTCTACTGCAAACTGTTATTTTGGATTAGGTAATGTTGCAATTGAACAAGATGAATATTCTTCAGCGCTCGATTACCACCGCAAAGCTCTTGATATCAAACAAAAATTGTTGCCTGGCAATGATCCTAAAGTAGCATCGAGTTATAACCAAATTGGTGCTGCTTATCGACGGTTAGGTATATATGATCAGGCTCTTCAATACACTTACACCGGTTTAAAAATAAGACTAGAATGTCTTGATAATAACGATGCCGATCTTGCACAAAGTTACCGTGATATCGGACTTGTATATTATCGTCTAGAAATGAACAGTCAAGCATTAATACACTTAAAAAAAGCACATGACATCTACGTTGAGGTTCTTCCAGAAAATCATCCTGATATAGCTGAAAATCTAGGCTATATTGGCTATGTTTATAATGCTACTGAAGAATACGATCTAGCTCTCCAGTACTACAAAAATGCACTCGATATTGATACAAAGTCTCTACCAGAAAACCATCCAGATATCGGAGTCATTTCTCAAGCTATTGGCGGTGTTCTTTTGCAGCAAAAAAATGATTATAGTACTGCACTTCATTATTTTAACCAAGCACTGACAATCTTTCGTAAGTCTTTGCCACCATCTCATGAATTCATTGAAGATGTTCAGGCTATGGTGAAACTTACAACATCAATATTATCGACAAAGTCAGATGAAAAAGATTGAATCATAATATCTCTGTAAAGAGCAAAATTTTCATTCTATTGATGAAAACTGACCATAAAATAGTTTTCGTATATTATTTTGGTGAAGATCGTGACTTGTCGTGAGACGAGAATCTCACGCGATATCATGAAACGTACAGCAGGAGACGAAAATTTTCGAACTATATATATGGGATAGAACAAAAAATTCCTTTTATGGGAGTTTTATTTTGTTCTGGTAGCGGGTAGTATATCTTCCTACTAAGAAAGTCTTGTGATGTATAAATGCAGTATAATGTAATGTGGAAAAGCCAATTTTTATAGTTTCAAGCGTCGAAGCTAGAAAAACGAGCGAACTCGATTGCAGCAGAGATTCCACCCGACAAGCATACAGATCATTTATAACTTACGCTGCATATGCCAAGAATTTTTTGAAAACAATATTTTTGCTGCAGAATTATTTAGCTGGCTACACAGTTTGACTTATCGATTAGAGGAATTAAAACACTATCATGATCGTTACTGATTACGAACCTTACAAAATATAATTTTGTAGGTATAATTTTTAAAATTTGCATAACACTAAACGTGCTGGCAGTTGTAATGAAAAAACAGTTCATGAATGTCCGTTGAAATTGAACTTTAGTAGGGAATTATTGTACAATTCATGTAGAATTGTCAGAACACATACTGATACTGATGTTATTCTCTTTTTTACATTCTGTTCACTTGAGACCAATACAATGACGATAGCCTTGCCATGTCTAATTACCCATAATTTTGCTTTTGATCTTGTTCTCTGTTTTGTCCTATATTTCCCAAAATGACTAAATCCTTCTATTTTGTTTTACATTGTATATTATGCAAGTATATGTTGTACCCACATTAATAGGCCGCGGGTCGTTCAATCCCTGCGGCTATATGAAACACTTTATTATTATTATTCACTCTCTTTATGCGTGAATATTAAGGTTAACAGAGTTTTTTTACTATATGTGTTCCTTTACTTTTCATCTGCTGAGGTATTCATTATTCGATCAACTAGAGAAAAAGAAGATGCGGAAGGTAGCTGACGCTTATATTCACATACCTGTAATGAACCGCACTGCTTACGATCAGTTTATTCGGTTTTCTTTTGCTCCATTATGATATTTCAAAATCAAGCGAAAATGTTTGAAACATCAGTAAAAAAAATCATTCATTAACAAACAAATTCGTTAATAACGCTTTTTTTTAGTAAAGACACATTTGTAACATAGATCACTTTTTCTGCTATCTGAAATACATTTCTATCAGGATTTTCATCTATTTTAGTTACTTGATACAACGTGTATGGTAGCACTAATACTTCCTTTTCATCAGCCATTTTTGATAAGCCTAGTTTCGATCCAATCGGTTATAAATTAATAGCAGTTGTACATGGTTTTGGAAAATTATAGATCACTAAAACGGCTAAGTTATCAGGAAAGCCACTTTTCTGTACTGTAATATATATGTCTGCCATCTCTTGATCGCTTGATGTTGAACTAATGTATGTGTTTGTAGAATACGATGTTTAGGTATCTTTGCGGTCCAACGATAACCATCGAATTGTTTTTCAGTCATTATCATATCTACTTAGGGCATACCAAAAGTAGTGGCAGTGGTATTTTTATCCCTTATAGAAAGGTTAAAGAAACTTTCTTTTTATATAGTCTGATAGAGAAAAGAATGTTCTATTTTTCTATGCTATTTGATC